GCCGTCTGAGTCGTCCGAGCCGTCACTCCGTCCAATCAGCCCGATCCGCCCAAGCCGGTCAATCCGTCTGATCAGTCCGAGCCGTCCGAGCTGTCCGATCCGTCCGATCCGCCCGATCCGCCCATCAAAGACATCCGAGCCGTCCGAACCGTCCGATCCGCCCCATCGACCCAATCAATCCGATCTGTCCGATCCGCCCGACCCGCGCAAGCCGTCGGAGCCGTCCGATGCGTCCGAGCTGTCCGCGCAGTGCGACCCGTCCCGCCATCCAAGCTTTTGAGCTGTCCGAACCATCAGAGCCGTCCAAGCCATCACTCCGACCGATCAGCCCGATCCATATATCCGTCTGATCCAGTCCGATCCGTGCGAGCCGTCCGATCCGTCCGCTGCATCCGAGCCGCCCGAGCCGTCCGAGCTGCCGTCAGCGCCATCCGATCGAACCGAGCCGTCCGAGCCGCCCAAGCTGTCCGATCGGTTCGATGCGTCCGAGCCGTCCGCTCCGTGCGATCCGCCCGATCCGTCCGGTCGTCCGAGCCGCCCGCGCCGTCCGATCTGCCAAACCTGTCCGAGCAGTCCGAGCCGTACAGCGGTCCGGGCTTTTGAGCTGCCCCAACCCTCGGAGAGCCGTCCAAGCCGTCCGGCCTATCAGTCCGCGCTCGTCTGTTCAACGCGTCCGAGTCGTCCGATCCGTCCGAGAAGTCCGACTGGGCCGGACACGCAACGTACCGCTAAGCAAAACACGTCATTCGCCACATGGACGCCAAGCGCCTAAGGCACGGGAGGGGGGGGGGTCTAAATAACTGATGTTTTTCAATCTTTTCGGCTCAAATAATTGAAAAAATCAATCTTTCGGCATTTGAGCCCCTTACCTTGCCTACGCAAGGAGAAACTTCAGCTAGCTAAAGCTAGCTTTCGTGACATTTGAATCCCTGTAAAAAAAAAACAAAAAGGAAGTAGCGGGGGGGTTGGTGGGGCGGCAGCCCCCCCCATGATAATCGCAGAAGAGGGTGCGGATTTATTTCGGGAATGTTTTTCGTTTGTTGTTTTTTCCCCCCGTTTTTTTACAATAAAGTTTCCCCCCCCCCCGTCCCGGCCAGAATGCTGTATCTCACAGAATTGTCTCGCAAAATTTGCGTATTTTACATTAGCCCGTCAACATCCCCAGCATCGTTTTCGACATCCCCCGCATGTTCAATCAACATCCCCAGCATCACCAACAAGTCGTGGGTAACAAAATCTAAAAAGTAGCTGGCGGGTTAACGGGGTCAAACAAATGATGATTCATATAGGTGCGGCAGCCCCCCCCCCATGATGCTTGAAGAAGTGATGATTCAAGTAGGGGTGCAATGATTCAAGAAAAGGGTGCGACGGGAGGGTTGGGGTTGGGGGGAGGCGGCACCCCCCCATGATGTTTGAAGAAGTGATGATTCAAATGGGAGTGCTCTGCAAACAATATAAAAAGTAGCGGGGGGGCTGGGGGGGGGTCCCCCCATGATGTTCGAAGAAGTGATGATTCAAATAATTAGGGAGGAACTGGTGATGCTGAGGATGCGGGAAGCCAAAGCCAAAAACCAATGAAAGGGTGCAAAAGCCAAAGCCACCAAAAGTCGCATAAACCAGCAAGAAGCCGAAAAGCCAAGAAGCCGAAAAACCAAGAAGCCGAAAAGCCTGGGAATGCAAAGGGTGCGAAAGCCAAGAAGCCGAAAAACCAAAAAGCCAAGAAGCCGAAAGCAAAAAGGGGGAAAAAAACGAACAAAAAAACATCATAAAATAAATACTCCTCCATTAACAGTGCAAGTGCAGTGTTGTTATCACAAACAGGCAAACCTGTAGTCTGCTTCACACTTGTTTTGCTATGGGCTCGCATGTAGTGAAAGAGAAAACTCAAGGCCTGCGGTAGTGCACAACATGCACAACTCACAAGTAGCGCAACATGTACTTTGACAAGAAAGAGAGACAAAGAGAGAGAAAGAGAGAGAAAGAGAGAGAGAGAGAGAGAGAGAGAGAGAGAGAGAGAGACAGAGAGAGTAAGAGAGAGGGAGTGGGCAAAACAAAGCTACAAGAAGGAAGGGAGAGTCCCGCACTTCAGATTCATTGAATTTATGCTGCGCCTGTCTGCCACACGCATGCGTGACTGCCCCGGCGCTTGTATCTATGGCTCATTTGGCCGAGGAGCCATTTCGGAGTCGAAGTGCTTGCCGAAGGTCTTGGCTTGGCACTTGCCGCCCCAGGGCAGCGCCGCGAGTCCGCGAGGGCACACGAGCTGTCCACCCTGCAGCACCCCCTGCCCAGATTCAAGAGTGAAGGGTGTTGGCTCTTTAGGGACGTGTGCTCCATTTGCAGTGTCTACCATTTGTGACGCCATGCCTAACGACGGCATACGGCAGCTATCAGATGCAAGCAATATCTGAAGACCCAGGCTGACGGTCAAACTTTGCAAGCCAAGCCGATGACCAAACATATTACCGCCACCACATTGGTGAGAAAGCTGAGGGTGCCACTTGCCTGCTTGTCCCACTGCCCGTTTCTTGAAGACAATAAATGGGGCCAGGTATCGCTTCTGGGGCACCCATTCTCCGAAAAGGGCCTTGCTTCTGTGGGCAAGCAATTGTGCCCACAACATGCCGCCGGCAAGGAAACCCCAGAAGGCCCAAGCAAATCCAGCGGTGATCTTCTTCCCACCTATTCACACAGCCTGCGGGTGGAAAAGGGACAAGACCCTGCCTGAAAATCAAGGGCCTCTTCATCGGTCTCCGGCCACACAACCCGTTGTGGCCTCGCGCTCGAACTCAGATCCTGTGCCCCAGAACAGTCGCGCAAAATGCACATCCCCCTTCTGAAACCTGGCTTGTTTGAATCACTGAACCGAGAGCTGCTTCTGCGATGTTCCCCGTTGCAAACATCAGTCACCGTGATCAATCCCAATAGTATGCTGCTCCTCCTCATTTCTTGTCTCTGCGTCGTTTCCTTAGCCAATCCTGGCAGGCAAACAAGAGCAGCTGCCCTCCCATCACCGAGAGGGGAGTTCGAACTTTTTGGAATGTGGGCATGAATTTTAACAAGGGACCCGAAATGGTGGACATCATTTAGGCGGGGGTTTTGTCCACCAATCACTGTTAAGGTGAATCCCTATTAAAACTCATTGCAATGTGGGTATGAGTCTAATTGGAGACCCTAAGCCAGCCATCGGAAATGCATGTTTTTTTTCACGGGTGTCCTTCCCAACCTTTTATGGATTGCAACGTTTGAGAGGCGACGATGGGGCTTCAAAACAATCGGCTCAATGCCATTGGCAGGCCTCACATGCTGACAGCTCCATACTGCCAATGGACTTGACTACACAATTTCACACATAGTTGTAGCACTTACCTTGCCTGAACACCTGATGAATAGGTTATCGTGCGCTACTTTTGCGAGAATCGCACACTTGTGTGATAGGTGTTGGTCTTCGTTGGTAGTATTGGCTCGCCTTCGGTTGCCCAGAACCATAAATCGACCAAGCAAGGTGAAAATGACAGAGTGACAACGACAAAGGCATGATCATCATGATCTAAGGGTTCCTTGGAGACTGAGCTTGGAGGGTAGCAGGAGCCGTATTGCAGGCTACTGTGAGAACTGGTCTGATTCGTGCAGCCAACGCATGCACAATTCCAGCCAGGTTGCCTCAGTATTGTGTTCCCGTTTGCTGGTCGTGATTTTTGCCTTCACCAGTTCCCTGCCGCTTGTTGTTTCATATAAGTTTCCCTCTCCTAGGGTTGGCTTGTGTTTGTATTCATCGCGAAGGCGGAGAGAGGCTCTTGAAAGTGGAAGGCCAGCATCGTGGTGGCTTTTCCCTTCGGCACACGCGATAGTCTCAGATTAGCAGCCCAAGTGGTTCACGCTAGGTGATCGCTTGGTTTTAGAATTAGAAGAGGCATGCAGTGACTTTCTTCAATTGAGCCACCTGAAACTGAGGGGGATGTCTGATGTCACAATTCACCAATTCAACCTTTCCCCTTCCTTGCTTTTTGGCTCGCTTAACATTTTGAATCGGGGACCTTGCTTGTTCAAAGGGAGTGGGAAGCCCTGCCTGCGTCAGGGAAGGAAGAGCTAGAGTCACAGATCTGCTCACCAAACTCCTTGCAGGCCCATTGAATGTAGCCCGCGATGCCTGAGCCCGCTACAAGAATGCTGGCTTTCCAACAGCAGCTTCCCTCCCTGATGAAAACACAGTCACAAAAGAAAACCCTGGAAGAGTCAGGGGTCACATCTGGTCCCTAGCAGGTGGACGTTCATGCAGTCACACAGCTGCTCAGGCCAGAACGCACTTGTGATACCGAAAATGAATGGGCGAAAAGCATTCTTGAGCTGAGATGCAGCATGAAATGAGTAGAAATGCAGGATTTGAACGTCTTGCCTGGTCTAGTCACTAGAAATCAGGTGGCCATGTTGCAGCCTTATTGAGTCCACACCCCCACCCATCTATACCAAACCTGTCATTTTCGTTTCCGATCCAGCCATTGGTCCGCTGTGCGACTGTGCGAGCGGGTGTTCTGGCACCCCCCGTTTGGCTCGGGCTCCGCAAAGAAGGCGTTGCGAAGAGGCTCAAGGCGCGGCTGGAGAAACGACATTGATGGAGTACAATGGCACAGTGAGATGAAGCGAGAGTCGAGAGGGATGCGCTGCGCATCTACATGGCGACTTGAGCCCAGCACGGCAACATGGCGACCTGAGCCTGACTGAACAGAGAGAGTTTGGCCAGCAATGGGGAGAAGGAAATTCCTGTTTGCTGGCGGGAAACTATGACATCTTGATGGCCCAACAATCCGGCCTGCATAAGCCACAACTCCAAGTCCACCATCCTCATGCCAATGAGCGCGGTGCAACCATGAAAATTGCAGCGCATCGGCAAAGAAAAACACATGGCAGCCCCTGCTCCGCGTACGCGTCCGCAAGCAGAAACACGAGGGAAAACAACATGCTTCTTTCTTCCCACACAACCCGGGGCCCTGTCTCCGTGCCTCGGGAGGTCTCAGAATTTTGCGCAAAGCTCTGAAAGTGTCGGTTGGAATCACCTCAGGGCTGCGCAGCAAAGTGGTCAGAAAACTGATCAAGTCTTCGAGCAAAGCTCTCAAGCCCGTAGCGTTGAAACATATTGAAACATAGCAAACATGGCTTCGAGTCTCTGAAAAATAGACGCGCTGAACTTCCATAATTCCTCAGAAGTCCCTGACGGACGCAGAAGAAACGTGCCTTTCCTGGCTCTGAGAAACAAGACTCGCAGACTAAGCCTGGATGTACATACTGTTGGGCATGCCATCCTGACCCACATTCCGTGGTTCCTTCCTTCACCAGGGCCGTGCCTTGGAAAAGCAGGTGGTAGGCATCACTCTCTGTGGCCACAACCTGTGCACATGCATTCCTGCCATCCCTCTGGCAGCGCAACTCTGCAGGGAGAGAAGAGCAGAGAAGCGTGGGCAGAGCGCAGAGAGACGCGCGGCGCTAAGGAGTGGAGGCCATGATAGGAGAAGGGCAGCGAAAAGAGCGGAGTGAAGAATTGGGAATACAGGAGCAGAGCGGGGAAAATAGCAAGGCAAAGGATGTTGCAGGCGGTTCCGGGAGGAATGCGGAGGCCCGTTCTTGGACCGCGCATGCAAAAAATGATGTATCGCAGAGTTGTGCCCCACTTGCCTAGGGCTCCAACTGCACGCTAGCTTTCATGGCAAGGTTTGGGCCGATGACTTGCTAACATATTGCGCCCATTTCAATAGTGGCGCTTACAATGCGAAAAGCGCCCACAATACGATCTTCATAAGTGAGACGTTCGCCCGGCAATGCCAACAAAGCAAACCCATTGAGATAAGCAACTTAAACGCAAAACGCGCCAAAGCTAGGCGCACGGGTTCGTAAATGGGAGAATTGCAATTATTGCACCAGTCTCAGCACTTCAAGACAAGACACGCCCCCAAACAGTGAAAATCAAACGGCCTGACGCAGCAGCCCCACCAGCTGCGGCCCGTTCTCCGTGGCCTTCACGGGCACCTGCATGTCGGAGGCGGAGCCGGGCCGAAGGGAGACTTGTTTGATAGCAAGGCCAGACAAACGAAAAGAGGAGAGGGGCAGCGCGTAGGGCTAACAATGCCATGTAAGCTGCAGTGCAACGGGAGCTGCACACAAACCAGCTGCAACCCCAAAGCGCCAGTGGAAACGCCCATGCAGAAACAAACAGCCAAGTCAATAGTCAATAGTGGCTTACTTCGCGTTGCGGTGGTGTGTTTTTGCCGCACTGGAACACATGTGCAACACCACACTAGCACCTGGTGCTTTGAGACATCAAAGGCTACCCTGTTCCAATGATACATAGTGCTACGCCATGCCTTGCGGCGCCTTTCCGAGAGGAGGTCGATCACTGCATCCTGACAAGGGACAGTCGGTAATCAGGGCTGCTGGCAGCCCAATCGGTCGGCCCAATCGGTCGGCCCAACCTGAATCAACTACACTGCCCTGCCCGATCCGAAAATCAGACTTCCATTCCCGGGACAAAAGCTCGAGAAATTACCAGTTTGCGGTCATGCCCGACTTTTTTTTGGGGGGCAAACAAGCACCAACATAAACACAAACACCGCCCTTTTGATGCATGCCCTATCCAGGACTGAATCCTTCTGCGCCGTGGGTCCCTTCTTGCACTGCCGTTCACGGCAGTGCAGCGCATCCGCCCACTCGCCCCGCTCAAAATCGAGCACGGGGTCCTTGTAGAGCTCATAAAAGGACACTGAGACCTCGATCTCTTCTCGATCAGGTTGGCCGGCCAGTGCCTGCGCAAAGAGGTTCGTAGTTTGGGCGATGTGTTGCCGGTGGCCGAAGGGCGACAATTGCGACTGCCCAAGCCTCGAACAGCGCCGAGACGCTGCGAGGTATGAGGCCCCGGTCCTAAGCGATTCGCGAAGTGTGGGACCCGCTGAGGTGAAACACTGAAAGCTCGATTCAGTTGTCCTGAGATGCTGTCAGAGTTCCTTATGTTTTGTGTGAGGGCCCTACCTGCCGGAGCAATGTACATAAGCAATCATATTATGGGAGTCTAGGATGTTCTGTGGATGCAGGGCACCAGGAATGCCCTTCCACAGCCCAAACTTTGCCTCCCACTCCAAGCTCTGACTGTCAGAGTCATCCTCTCCCTTTCTTTGCTTCACGGGACAGATTTTGGACACCTGGAAATTGCAGTTGTCAGATGTATTTGTCTGGGGGGCACCCGAGGCTCACACCAAGAGTGTGAGTCTTGGAAAGAGATGGCCCAGCAAAGTAGCAGTTTTGCTTGCAAGGGGATCCTTGCAAGCTGAAGGCTTGCTGAGACGTGCAAGGCAAATCTCATACGTGCCCTGGTTGGCAACGCACGGTCACGCCTGGTGCACACTTTCCTCACTGAAAAGGAAACACCTATATAGATCGCATACAAACGCCGCTCGGCAATGCTTTTCGAATTCGGCTTACAATGTCTGAGGCATGTTGAATTATGCGGCGGGCTATCAAACAACTATACCGTGTAGCTGGCAAATGCCGTCACAGCTGGCGGTCAGCGGAAGAGGACTGCGAGCAGAAACGAGAAGTGAGCAAATGCCCGGGTAATGGCACTGGCTTCAAACCAACATCATGTGCAACTAGGTCCATGAGCACGTACGACTCATGACTGTGAATAACTGCAATCTTCCACCCAGTTGCCTGCCACACATTGAAATTGAATTCCATGCCACAAACCTTGGAGTAGCTGGCTTTGTCCCAGCAAGATGGAGGACATCGAGGGGCCTGCATTGCGCCTGCACTAAAACATCTTCACGTTGTAGCTGCTGGCATTGACACAACGGAGCTCCACCGCAGGCAGACATAAAAACTCTTGTCACTGTGGTAGTGGCACTGAGTGGTTGGAAGCCCACTTGCCCCAAGCCTGTGCAAAGGCAGGAACAGTCTCGACATGATTTGACTGAGAATCAATTATCTGACCGGATTGGAGCTTGCTAGTCCGATTGCAAATGCGCTCCACATTCGCAACTCTACAGACTCTACAGGGGCTTAGCACAGATGCGGCTGATGCAAAGTGGGATCTGGCTCTGTGGGATTCGTGGCAAAGGGTCCTCACTCTGCGGCGGCGAATCGCTGTCCGCCTCAGGGGGAGCAAGGCCAGTCTTTCGACATGGCTGGGACAATGTTGAGAAAAACTGACCGTGACGTGCAAAACAAGGATTAGCTATGCAAGAAAACCAATATGCCTGCTTGATCTTCTAAACTAGGACCTTCGCTTTGGATGAGAGTCTAGAGAACATAAATCAGCTAAATTTACTCCTGGGAGGGCGAACAAGAATTTTCGCTGTAGACGAGCAGCTGTTTTAGTTCTTACTGGGGAATACAGCATACTCGGCATACTAGGGCTATGTTTAGTGGAGTTTAGCCGAGCCTAGGTGCACCTTAGTTGGGATTAAGTGTTGGCTGGCCGGTGCCTACCCAAGGGTCTATCTGGGTGCTTGGTAGTTGTTTTAGGCTTGGTTTAGAGGGAAACCAAAAGGACACCAATCGTTTTGGGCCCAGCGCCCTATTTTTAAAGGAAGACGTAGACACATGTGGAGCTGATGCAAAGGGATCTCGCAGCTCCAAAACCCCAAAGGATTTCAATCAACTTTGTCTTTGCGAGCCACTTTGCGTTTTGCCTTGGCAAGGTCTCATTGTTAAACAACACAGCTTATTGATAGAGTGCTGCCACCGCCGCCTTCGAGCCAAAGGGATGCATTCACAAAAAGGCAATTCTACTGAACCCCACGCCTCCGAAGTGTCCTCTCCTGGGGCGGTCGAGGATGGTGAGTTCTCCTCCTGACGTTCAGGTTCGGGCGAACAGGCGCCAGCCAGAACGCCCGCTCATACCACCAAAAGGACCTTGCCTGCCGCAGCAATCAATCACAAACACACAGAACCAAACATGCACCCACAAGCAATCAATCAATCAATCAATCAATCAAGCAATCAACCAACCAACCAATCAACCAGCCAGTCAAAAACACACACACACACACCCACAAGCAAGCAAGCAAACAAGCAACCAAAAACAAACAAACAAACACAGACTGAATGGACCGAATGGACCCTGTCCGCCCGAACCAGACAAAAAGAGCAAACACATGCAAACACACACGCACACACACACACACACAACACACACACACACAGCACACACACACACACAGACACACACACACACAGCACACACAACAGACATACACACACACACACACACGACACAGACACACACACACAGACACATTACACAACACACACACACAACACACAACACACAACACACAACACACAACACACACCCACACGCACACACACACACACACAGACCTGGAACCTCCGTCCGGCCAAAATTTTAGCCGCTTTGCTTTCAGCAAGAATTTCAGCCGCAAATCGAAAACATCGCCGACAGCTCTGAAAAACGCCGGCAGCCAGAGAAAACAGCCGCAAAGCCTGGTCTAAAACATCACAAACTGAACCAAGCACTTGGTCCCACAATGCAAAGCCAACCGGCATGTCTTTGGTTTGCTCACAAACGCTGCTGAAAGTTACGAAGATGGGCACTGGGCACGCAGCAACGACTCCACCCATCCAGAGAACAATCGTAGGCCGGAAATGGCAAGCACTTGCACATCAATACACGAGCTTTGGCACTGTCGGTGCCCGCAACTACATAGCCAACTGCATGCATCATGATTTCCGCCGGCAATGCATTTGTGACCAGACGTGCTTTGCACAGTGACGCTAATAACAGCACGAATCGAAGGTAAGGAGATCAAGCATCAAGCACAATCAAAGGCCCTGAAAACGTCCACTGGTTGGACGCGTGTTTCCGCCGTAATCCCGCGTGTTTCCGCCGTAGCCCGAAACACCAACAAAATACAAAACCGTCTATTGAACCGTGCATGCAGGAAAAACACTGATTCCTGCACTTTGGGGCTACGAGCCCTTTGAAGCCAGAAGCAGTGGAGACAAAGAGGGCTCCGTACTCGCCACACGCATCGAACAAACATAATTCATACACCCGGGCTGCGTCATGCCCTGATTGAAGAGATTGGCGGTAGGCATGCGCAGGTACAGCGGTGGCTGCAAGTTGCAAAAGGCTGCTTTGTGGCTGCATATATTCAAGATAATGACACAAAAGGCGGTTTGCACAATCAACGCTTGTCACATTGGCCATGCTCAGGGGTCAAAGCAAAGGTTGTGGCAGCAAAACTCTGCAAGGCCGCGTATGAAAAACGCCGCTGGAAAAGCAAAAACGCCGCACGATTTCTATTTCCGCCGGTGGACGCAAAAAGGCGCCCTTTGGAGTCCGTGGCTGAATTTTTGGCCAGAAGGAGTTTCCAGGTATACACATACACATACGCATACACATACGCATACGCATACGCATACGTATACGCACACGCACACGCACACGCACGCACACACGCACACACCCACACACCCACACCCACACCCACACCCACGCACACGCACACTTACACGCACACGCGCAGGCGCACGCAAACACACACACACAAACAAACACAAACACAAACACAAACACAAACACAAACACAAACACAAACACAAACACAAACACAAACACAAACACAAACACACACACACACACACACACACACACACACACACACACACACACACACACACACACACACACACACACACACACACACACACACACGCACACGCACACGCACACGCACACGCACGCGCACGCGCACGCACACCCACACACACACACACACACACACACACACACACACACACACGCACACACGCACACACGCACACACGCACACACACACACGCACACACGCACACACGCACACACGCACACACGCACACACACACACACACACGCACACACGCACACACACACACACACGCACACACGCACACACGCACACACGCACACACGCACACACGCACACACGCAAACACGCAAACACGCAAACACGCAAACACGCACACACAGACAAACCAACACAAACAGACACACACACACACACACATCCAGCCACGCAAGCACGCACGCCAACCAGCCAGCCAGCCAGCCAGGCAAGCAGACAGACATACAGACACACAAACACGTGCATGCACCAATGCATGCATTGCCAAATCACAATGGACCCCCGCCTGAGCAGGCGGCCGCTCTGAAGGCACAGGCTCATCTACCTTGTGCTGGGCGCTCCGAGCTTTTAGCCTCAACCTTCTGGCTTCCCCTGCAATCTTAAGTTAACAACGATCTATGTTGCATGCACTTAGGGTTGGCAGCTGGAAAAGACAAAGCCTTGTGTTTTCTGCTGATTTTGGTGACTTCTTTCATCATATCACCATACTGCTCTGCTATGTGTCAGCCACATGGACAGCCAATGAGCTACTGGGCCCATAACAATGTGCAGAATAAGCGACCTTATGCGACCTGACGCGACCTTGGGTGAAACAGTGTTATGTCACAAGTTCCTTTTTGAGCGCCCGACAGTTCAAGCCACGCTGCTAAATCAGGAGCTGCGGCTTCCCCCCAATGACTGCTCCCGAATGGGCAGCATAATCTGCAAGCCTTTCCCCGCACTTTCCGCGACAAATCGACAAATCGCAAGGTCCTCTGCAAACATCTGCATTGAACTTGGGTTCTTGCACCCTGCCCTAAGGGCAGATTTATATCATGTTTTTAAGTGGCACGGAACAGCCTTCTGCCTCTGTTCGGTTCCGGCCCTACATTGGCCCAGGCGCTGCCAGCTTCTTCTGGGATCGGCTGGGGCCCGGCTCGAAGAAAAGGAGCCGCGTCGTGACCTGAGGGGAGGCTTGGTGGGTGCTGTCCTGCAAGCAGCTCCGACGTGCTTGTTTCTTTGGGTGTGTTGTTGAAGCTATAACTTGCATGCTTGTTCAAGGAATCTGGAATGAAACACACGTGAGACTTTGGGTGATCTTCTTGTTGCCCGTCCTTTTGATGGCTGTCAAGCTTGATTGTCTTTGAGACGGCTCCATTGAGAGCACTGCTCAAAGGGTACAAAGCTCCTGCCCAATGAGCGCAAGAGTTCAATTTGTTTGCGTTGGGACGCAATCACGCCAAACCGGACATTTGCTAGTTACTCACCAATTTGGTTTGTTTTTATTGGGGGTCCCTGCGATGGACATTTGTAGATACATTTGGATTCATGTCCATGAAGGGATGTTCCCAGCTTAATTCTAGCCAGCTGTGCCACCGGGCTCCGTAGAACTGGGGCAGCTCACCCTGGAGGAAGGCCAGCAGCGGCTGCAGCTTGCGAAGGCTCACCTTGGTCACCTGGCACATCCCGTCCCCAGCGCATGTGTCCCAAGGTTGAAACTCGCCCCTTTGTCTTGCTGTGAGGCTACTTTGCCTGAAAGCAGACCGTACCAATCTGACCTGTTTAATGAAGGTTGAGGAGAAACAAGGAAAAAGCAAATCTCCCTCTTAGAGGCAAGTCATTCCCCCCTGAGCAAGTCTGGCAACGGGAGCTGCTCCCCCATAATGTCAGTGCGCGATTAGTAAAGCAACCGATGAAAGGTTTACTGGTTTGCCTCCCAGATTCCCACCAATACTCAAGCGAAGAGCCAACACGGTTTGCCCAAAAAGCAATACCCAATCATTTTGATTAAAGGTACCCCCTGGCCCCCAAGCATCCAAAGGGCATTCCTTTTGCTTTGTGCTTGGTCCGCGCTTAAACCCAATGCTAAGCCACTAATTATCAAACCTCTCAAGTGTCCCAAAAGATGTGTTTCCTTTGCGACAGCAATACAAAATGATGAGGTTTGCAAGCTCACAACAGAGACCCCCCTTGGAGGCCAGCAACCCTCTTTAACAGAAATCCCCCACGATTACTCAGGGCCCTTGTGGGCTCAAACAACAAACTGCTGTTGCCAGCCCTGTTGCCCAGAAGGGGCCAGGAATGCAAGAACCGAAGAGGTTGTCCAGGTTCCCTTTTCCAGTTTAATTGGGGCTGGGAAAGGACGAGGACCGAAGGCTCCAGATTCATCAGGGAGGTTCCTCAAAACGTCTGTTTTGGGGGCTCCACGCCTTGTCGACCCGGAGGGAGCCCCCTTTACAGAACACCGAGCCCCCTGAACACCGATCCCTCAATCGTTGATCATTCACAGGTGGGTGGAATTGGGTGGATTTCAAATGTTCGGTCTCTTTTGCCCAAGGCTGCCGAAACATGCCGACCGCACCAGCCCCAACCTTTCCAGCCAGTTCCCGGGGGGTGTCAGACTTTAAGAACCTGGGGGTGCCCCGTTTTCCCGGCAGACAGCTCGCCAAGAAAACGGAATCGAGTGCCCGTACAGTGCCCTACCTCAGCCGCGCAGGGCTTGGTCCGCAGGTGCTCCAAAAGGTGGAGGGCACGAAAGGGCGGCCGCCAGTCATGCTGGCCTGGTCGAATGTCTGGCCCGGTTTTCTGCTGGCAGTGCGCCCAGCTGTGACCTAATGCCCATGCGCTTTTTGCACAACGGTCAATCCTTGCCATTCTGCATGAAGCTCAAGCCAACAAGTCAAGGGATCCAATGCCAATAGAGCAGCCGTTGCGTGCACTTACTTTGCATTGGGTAGGCAAGCAAGGAAAGCGAGCTCACCCCTCCCCTCCTTACAGAAAAGAGCAGGTCGCTGCATTTTTCTCAGGAATTGCAAGTTTCTTCCTGCCCCCCCCCCCCCTCCTCCCCTGTTCACTGACGCCCTTGAGCTGCTTCCAAGACGCCGTTCCAACTGCTCTCCAGCTGCTGCTCAATGGCGCTGATCAAAGCGCTGACCCTGAAAGTTTGGCACTTCCACCACCACTCCTGCAAGTTGCACAGGGGTTGCATACATTGCATACCACAGTGTTCTGCTTTCCTGTACGCCAATTGGCAAGGACAAACATGACATTTGCTTTCCAAGCCATATGCAAATCTTCCTGAGGGCAAAGCTGAATGCGAGACAAGCAAATTTCATGTTGATACGTTTGGGAGTGGCCCGCCACCTTGCTCCAGTGTTTTCCAATGCCTCTCCTCCAGCTCATCCTTGGAAGGCTCAACTGACAACAAAGCCTGGCGATGACACAGCCTTGGCAATTGCAGGATTGCGGTCGACTCCCGCCCAGTCACCGCCCCTTTACGCGGTCATATCCTGGCCCGCAAAAAAAAAGAAGGGGACATCATATTTTCTTGGGACCAACAGCACGGAGGGCCAAAGGATCCAGCTCATTCAGATCTGTGGGGCCGCTCCCAAATGGCACGCGAGTGCAGTGGCCACTGATGAGAGTCTGTTGGTTGGGGGTGACTGTGGGTTTGTTTGCCTAGGAGGCAAACTTTGCGTCCTAGTGTGGAGGTATGTGTTGGTGCAGGCGAGGTTACCGAAGATGGATGCCCATGCCGATGCCCCTAGATCACTCTGCGGAACCTTCTCCTAAAGCACGCCGAGTCTCTTGGGCTGACTGAGTCGCTTTCGCAAGCTGTTTTGTCTCGGCTTCTCCAGCACCTTTAGGGGGAAGGAGCCCCACACCCTCCCCCCCCCAGCACCGAGCTGCTGCCACACCAGCCATTGTACTTCCCCCCGTTCCAGTTCCCAGCTGCGATTGGGAGCCTGCCGCACTGCTGGCTTTGGCACGCCGCGCCCATGACAATAGGCGTGACATCTTGGGTGTCATTCTGGTGTTCAGCATGAGCCCCAAAAAAATGCGCTGGCACGGTTGCAATTGCAATAAAGTGGCGTAGGCGATCATGCGCGAACCTGAAACATGTTTTGCGGAAACAGCCGGCGTTTGTGAATGTTTGCACCGGCAAGTTTGCGAACACATGGTGCGAGGCAGCCGCTTCATTCAAAGCCAGGATGTCGAGGATTTCTCAAGGTTCTCCAGGACTTCCGTTAAGGACCCTTCAAACGGAATCATTCACACGACGCAAACACACATACGAAAAGATATCCTGGCAACATATAGGGAAGACTGCAACCCAAGTATGCACTGGCGACATTCACTCAGCTTGATTGCAATGGAATTGCACTCAGGTCCCCCGACCTTTGGCGCCAGCATTCGTGCTGCCATGGCGGAAGGCTCAGCCAAGTAAATCAAACAGGGTTCCACTGCACGTTCCAGAGAAGCCGCTTTGAAGCCAAATCTTGCCTCGAGAAGGCCCTGACTTGCAGGCACAACAGGGAAGGCCCGCATACCAATCGCATACCCCGTCTGGGAATTATAAAGTTACTTGATAGTAGGGGGAGAGGGGTGGTGGTACTTGTTCTGGTGCTTGCGGCTTTCATGCCTTCATGCCTAGGCGCTGTGAGGGCTTGCTATCGCACTAGCTACGTCTCTCTCGGGCATACGGTGGGCGTCTTGGAGCCCACGCTGGCAAACTGGGTGACTCATGCACGATGCCGGGCCCTCGGAAACGGGTAGGAACCATGCGGGTTCCACAGTGGTGAAAGCCTTCAACCCCCCTCCTAGGCATTGCTGACCGGTTGTGCGGGCGGCACCGCATGGTCCCGGACCAAGCCCCCAACCGAGAAACGCTGCGCTCCACCAGTGACCGCAAAGGTCTTGCCGCTGCCTGGCGGGTTGTGTGATTCCAAGCAAGCAGGATTGCATATGCCGCATGTCTTTCTGCCGCACTTGCCGAAATAACATTTTATCGCGTTTTGACAACATCTTAAAAGGTCAAACAAATGCTGTTTCACACGTCAACATCGTTCCCCGCGGCCATGACCACACTGCTTCAGCGCCAAAATTACATGCAAGAACGCGAGAAAAACACCTACAACCCACACAATGCCGCGCAACTTGTGCAACTTGGTTCTGAAACAACCTCTGATCCTAGTCCACAAAAGAGAGGACTTATGCCAGAAACTGCAAACCAATTGCTTGGTTGTGCCGTGCCTGATGCCCCAGAAGCAATGAATATTGCCTTGGCCGCAGGTAGCTTCATGTCAAGTTGACCCTTACCACGTGTGCGACGTTCCAAGAACTGCCCCGGCTACTCAAAGCAACAACATCCTGGTAGTCTAAGGAAAGCAAAACAACATGCCACGCAACAGTGACTTTGGTTACGACAAAGTGCAAAGTCTGGGCTACCCAACGCTCTGAAAGGACTCCAGGGACTTTCGGACGTCAGACCTCGCCTGCGTGCAAGCGCCGCCGATCAAGGCGGATCTAGGTTCAATCTTGTCGTGGGGGTGTTGATCCTGATCGGGGCGACCGTAAAGATTGCAACAACATGAGGCAGAATTTGGCAGCGTTGCCTGGATGTCCGGGCTCATTCAGGAAAAAAGAAGAAGCACAAAACATAGACAAGGATGCAACAACCCGCATCGGGGGCTTGGCGTTGCAATTGCTCATGTTCCTGAGTCCAGGCCACGTGCATCAGTCTGTTCTTCGGTTTGATTAGACCCACGCACCCTTTGTGCATGTTCTTTCCCAGCAAGTGGTGCGCACAAAACGTGCGTTCCTTTCGGTCTCTTGTTCAAAGCCACCTTTGGATCATACCATTGATCTGTCTGTCCCCTCTAAGGGCCGCGCCACATCTTGGAAAACCTTCTCCTGTCCCAAGGCACAAGATGCCCGATAGCAAAGGAGATCCCACAGAAAGAAAACAGTGCCTGAGCATGTGCCTGGTTATTTTGCCGGCTTTCAACAAACGACTTGCGGCACATTAGCACAACCAAAGCTGTGGCTGCAGGGAGACATGCTCCAGGCGAGACTTTTGCAACCAAACGAATCACAAAACAACTTTCCAGCAGAAGCCAAGTCCAGAAGAAGTGCTCATGTGCGAAAAGCTAGGAGTACTTGACCCCCTGCCTGAGAGGTTTTGGGAGGAAACCTCGGCGACATTGCCAATGCAAGACAAGCCAATGTTGTGCTTTGTACGTCTTGCGATGCCCCACGCCCGACTTTGCAAAACATTGCCTTTCTGGCGTGCATACGTCGAGCATTGGCATTGCTTTTTGTTTGGAATCCAAACAAGCAGTTGTTGATTGGTTCCCTTTTCGGATTTGATAGTGTCAATTAACATGCACAATTTCAATAGCCAAGCGGCACGTAGTCAAAATTGATCAAGTCTGACTCAGCAGTACCTAGCTGCAGCTCGTCCCGCGCTTGAGATTGTGCGCACGATACGATGTCTGCTACGGCTACAACTCGTTACACGTGCCGAACACTGATTCAAACAAGTGTGTTTTCAATCACGCTTGGACAACACACCAGGTCCCAATCTGGCCAACATACACTTGCAAGGTTTTCGCAACAGCTGCGCCTGTGCCGCTGTTGCCCGTCTCATACGGGTCGCCGCTGGAGTCACTGCTGGGCACCTGCACTCGAACAACCACAGGCCAGTCTCCTAGCGTGTCAAAGCTGAGGGCATGTAGGAACATGTTATTGGAGCAAGGGATCAAGATGAAGCGTTCGTGGTAACACACACGCACGCAAACACAGCATCGTTGCGGCAACTTCCAAGAGGGCAGTCTCCAATATGTGGGCAAACTGCTGCAAGATGTCGGCCCAACTTGTTGCCTCGATCTTGACCCAAGTTGAATCAAACACAAACTTCGCGTCGTGCTGGCTGCCCGGGTGAATGATGCAGTAGCCTGGCACGAGCACACCGTTGCACACAGAGTGGAGGCGTGGCAAAGTAAGCAAGCAAGCAGCCGTGAAACAAAATTATAGCAAGACAATCCCGCTGCGTCGCCCATGAGAACATGATCATGCTTGGAGCAAATTAAGTGCTGTGCTGCGTGGAGCAGGCATCAGGCCTTGGCCGAGTTTCAACATGCAGCGCAAAGGAACGCAATATCATCTTCCATAATAATACTTTGTTCAAAACATGATCTTCCAACTGCTGAGAAACGAGCTGAAAGCAACGTGGCGGACACAGCGCGGCAACGACCGTGGACAAATCCCACAACGCAATTGGATCGGATAGTCTGAACTGATCATCAAGGAGGCAACGCGCGGTGCATTTGCAATGGTGATTGGTTTGTGAAAACACGTGTGCCTATGCAAATCCAACAAATTAACCTGGCTACGCATTGCGGGTGCTGCAGCTGCGAGTTGTCAACATTCTGCGTTCGTGACATTCATGCTCGCTTGTGCCTTTTGTGCTGGCAAGCTGGGAGCCATGAAGCGGACACGAAACGGTCGTTCAACGGTTTAGTGATGGGGCTGCAGGCTCACTGAGAAGCAGTGTTCGCAACCTAGCAACCACTCGGCGCTGTGCAGAAAAAGGCCCTTCGACAAAAAACACTTGCGACGTTCCTGCCTGATTCCACCACAAGGGGACATGTTTGTTTTTCCTCCGCGCCCTTTTTTGGTTGACCGCGTGACGCATCACCTAGGAATGGCAGCCCCCATCCCTACGAGTGTGTGAGCTGGTTCCGCTTTCTCTCTCTTAGCTTTCAGGGTTCCCCCCTTTTCTTCCCTGCCGTTCTTCTGCATTAAAGCTGCATTACTTTTGGCACCCAGTTGGGAAGTTTAGTTATAAGTTATAACCCTCTTGCCAATTGTGCTAGGGATGCCCCAAACCGTGAAGGACCCACAGAAACTCTGGGCGGGCAAATTATCCACCGCAGCAAGGACCAGTGCCTCTCGTCCGGCGGAGGCCAGCTGCGGCAAACCAGCCGATGACATTAACCGCAAGGAGCAAGCGGCAATGGCGCGGAAAGACATGGAAAGACCTTCCTCACAGCGGTGCGGTGGCCAGGCTGCACATGTGTCTCTGAGAGCCCTGGTCTTCTCACGCAGACCAATTACAATGCTGACAGAAGGTTTGAGTACTTTAACCTATTGGTTTGGAATTCTGCATGCCAGCAAAGCCTGGACCACACTTTGCCAGCACATCGGTGGTAGTGAAACATGGAATTCAAGGTTTTTTTCCTCCCACACCTTCTTCCATCGCCTGGTTCCCCCTTTGCAGGGGATGCCTCCGGGCAAAAGGGGTCTCGGCGGCTGTTTTTTATGGAGGCCAGCTCCTCGCGCGCAAGAAAGCTGGCCATTTGTAGGCGGGCATCGCCAAAAGGCGACAAACTCCCATCAAGAAGACTGCAATGCTGCCCCGACCGGGATGCCCGCCAAGGAGACGGCAAAGGCGGACATCGCGACGTGCGCCAAGAGCGCGGACCAGCGCGCGACAAGCACGGATTGCAAGCTGGTCCGGAGCCTGGCCGGGGGCCTCGCGCGCCTTGGCACGCACTCCAACAGCTGCCGACCTCGACTGCGAGCACGACCAAGCGGCATCTGGCCAGACCGTCGACAAAAAAAAATCCGCGAAAGTCGACAGAATAGCCGAGTCATGGGCACCGGCGTACTCGGCCGTGACCGACGGGGGAAGCATCCGGAGAAGGTAGTTGCAGCGGGGAGAGCAACAAAAAAAAAACAGCAGCAACCAAAACGCTTGCGCGACGCCGGGAGCTGAGTCCGGACAAACGTGTCAGAACCAAAAGGGGCCCCAAGAACAGTAAGCCCTTGTTCTGCATCGGGCAACAGTTCCAACCCAGCAGGACAAGTCCGGCATCCCAGGCTGACCAAGAGATTTTTTCCCGCAGCGCTCCGTCGCAATTAAGGGGGGCCCCGGGCACCAGGGTTCCGCAAACGGTTTTCGGAGGCCAGCTTCCTCACCTGCACGCTGCTTTTACGGAGGGCTGCGTCCTCGCGTGCACACGACGGCTACCGGGCCGGCAGCCTTTTCGCCCCAGGCGTCAAAATGGGCACGCAGCGAGAAGGTCACTCAAGTCCGGGCAAGGCCCATCAAGGTTGCTCAGGCCAGGGGAGGGCAAGGAAGTGAGGCTGTCAGCGAAGGCGAGCGAAGCTGCAGATAGCTGCAGCGCACAACAAGCCGGACCATCGGTGGACATAAGCACTTTGAAGGGCAGGGCGAATGTTCTCCGGCACGGCTCGGGCTCTGGCACGCGCGAGGAGGCGGAGAAAAGAGGCTGCGGCCTCGGACCTCTACACCGATCACAACCAGGGCAGCGGGCGCTGGCAAGAAGCTCGGGGTAGGTTGCTTCCTTGCGGCGCCGGGCCTCAAGAAGGGCCACGGGTCGGGCCGGGTCGCGCCGAGA